CACTCAGTTGCCAAGGCTGGCCTTGAACTTGCAATCCTCCTGTCTCACTTTCCCAAGTAGCTGGGATTATAGGCATGCAAAACTGTACTTGGCTATATGAATATCATATTCCTATACACTAGCAATAAATCAACTGAAAATGAAATAAAGAAGTTATTTCATTTACATAGCATTAAAAAGAATAAAATGGACTTAGGTGTAGCTCAATGGTAGAGTGCTTGCCTAGCATGTGCAAGGCCTCAAGTTTAATTCCCAGTACTATAAAACAAAATAAAACAAAAAGAAAAAAATGTTTAGGAATAAAGTTAACTGAATAAGTTCATGAATTATACACTGAAAACTAAAAAAATTGAAATTAAATTCCTAAATATATGTAAAGACACGCTATATTTGTGTATTAGAAGACAATATTGTTAAAGTAGCAGTAATCCTCAAATTGACCTACAGATTCACAGCAAGCCCTTTCAAAATTTCAGCAGACTTCTTTGCAGAAATTGACAAGGTTATCCCAAAATTCATGTGGATGTGCAAGGTGCCCAAAACAGGCAAAACGATCCTGAAAAAGGAGAAGAAATTCGGAGGCCTCACATTTCTCTTTTTCTAAACTTCCTGCAAAGCAATAGTAATCAAGGCAGTATGCTATTGGCAGAAGACAGACATATATATAAGTAAAACAATTGAATGTATAGAACTAAACCCTCACATTTATGGTCAGTGGACTTTTGAGAAATGTTCCAAAAATCATTCAATACCAAAATAACTGTTTTTTAAGAAAAGGTACAACCGGATATCTTCATGCAAAAGAATGAGCATAAACCCTTATCCTACAAAATGCATTCTGTTGTCATGTATAACTAATTAGAACATTTTTTTAAAGTAAAAAAAATTATTGAAAAATAAATAAATAAAAATCCTGCTCCCTAAAAAAAGAAAAAGAAAAACCAAAAAAAAAAAAACCCCTATCTTACATCATATGAAAACTCAAAATGAATCAAATATCTAAGTGTAAGGAGTGAAACTCTAAAGATCAGAAGAAGGGGCTGGGGTTGTGGCTCAGAGGTAGAGCACTAGCCTAGTATGTGTGAGGAACTGGGTTCGATCCTCAGCACCACATAAAAATAAAATAAAGATATGTGTTCACCTATAACTAAAAAATAAATATTTTTTAAAAGTCAGAAGAAAACATAGGAGTTGGGGCTGAGGTTGTGCTTCATCAGGAGAGCATTCACCTAGCACGTGCAAGACCCTGGGTTCAATCCTCAGCACCAAATAAATAAATAAGTAAATGGTATTGTGTCCAACTACAACTAAAAAATAAATGTCAAAAAATCATAGGAGTAAATATTCACAACCATGGGTTAGACAATGTTTCCTTAAATAAGCCATCAAAAGCATAGAAGGGGCTGGGATTGTACCTCAATGGCAGAGCCCTTGCCTAGCACGTGTGAGGTACTGGGTTCAATCCTCAGCATAACATAAATATAAATAAATAAAAAAGGTATTGTGTCCATCTACAACTAAAAATATTTGTTTTAAAAAGAAGAAAGATGAAACAGATAAATTGGACTTAGTTAAAAAAAAATTTGTACTTCAAAGCACATCATACAAAGATTTAAAAGACAATCCACATAATGGGAGAAAACATTTGCAAATCATTTACATGATAAGGGAATTGACCCTAGAATATATAAAGTTCTTTTACAAGTGAACAACAAAAGAAAAAATAAACCCAACTTAAACAAGGGCAAATGGTTTATTTAGACAATTCCCTGAAGAAGAAGATATACAAATGGTCCCCATGCCAATAAAGATATTTAAATTGTTAGCAATTATGGGAATGCAAATCAGATGACAGGAAGATCCACACCCATTAGAATGAATAAAATAAAGGCAGAAAATAGCGAATTGGGGGAGAATATGGGGAAATTGTAACCCTCATGTGCTGTAGGTGTAAGTGCAAAATGATAAATTTCCCTTGGAAAATAGTTGGGCAGTTTTTCAAAATATTAAGCATATAATTACCATATGACCCAGCAATTTTACTCCTAAGAATATCCTCCAAAGAATTGAAAACAGTGTTCAAACACAAAATTTTACATAAATATCCATAGCAACGTTATCTATAGTAGCCAAAGGTGAAAAGAACTTAAATGTTGTGACCAATTAAATGAATTTTAAAAATGTGGTTTACCATTTAATTGAATATTATTAGATAGTAAGATAGTAATGGAGTACTAATGCATCCTACAACATGGATGAACTTTCAAAATACAAGCTATGTGAAATAAACTAGTCACAAAGCCCACATATTGAGCTAGAGGAAGTGGCACACTCCTGTAATCCCAGTCACTTGAGAAGCTGAGGCAGGAGGATCACAAATTCAAGGATAGACTCAGCAATTTAGCAAGACCCTGTTTCAACATAAAAAGCAAAAAGGGCTAGAGATGTGTCTCAGTGGTAGAATGCCCCAGCTTCAAGCTCCAGTACCCTCACCAAACCCATATAGTATATGATAACATTTATATTAAATGTCAACAATATTCAACCATGGAGACAAATTAGTGGTTGCCAGAAAGTTGGGTTGAGGGATGGAGAAAAAAGGGGAATGTATAATGTTTGCTAATGTATAAAGGGTTTCTTTTTTTGGATGATGAGGATGTTATAAAATTAGATAGTGGCTATGGATACACAACTCTGGATATACTAAATGCCATTAAATTGTATGCTTTAAAAGCACACAAATTTATGGTATGTGAATTATACCTCAATAAAACTGTAAAAAGTACAATTATTTCCATTTAAAGATCAGGTATTGCCTCTTCCTGGTGGAAGAAGCCCACTGTTATCAACCTTCCTTCTGGAAATGCTACAATATCTGAGACTCATCACTGGTTTCTGCTTTTGACAGATTCCAAACTCGGCTGTAACAATAGTTAGATTAGGTTGGTGAGGGAAGCCGATATTATTGACTTCTTTCATAGCACTATTCTTACTTCCTATGGTCACTTCATACATGGGCCCATGGAACAAACCCTGGCCTAGTGGGATGTGAGAAGAGGCTGACAGACACTACAGAGATGGTCATTTATTTTCTTCTCATTTATTGAGAGTTTGTTCTGCAGTGGATGCCTTCAGTGGACACACTCAGTATCTGAATAAGCAGATATGGCTAGTTAGAGGGGAATGATGTGGCCTGCTAGCATTTAGATCTCAAGACTCTTCCAATGAGTAAAAACAAATAGAATCTTGGTCAGGACATTAAACCATGAGGGAGTTGCCCTGGGCCCCTGTTTCTTGACCACCATTCAGGTAGCTTCTGAATGGGAAAATGAAGTGCACTGGTGCCTGAACAATGCAGGGAGGATGAGCCTGATCTCTTTCACACTGCTTCTGCAGAGCAGACTCCACTGACAATTCTTTCCAAAGAGTCTGGGAAAACACATTAGCAGGGGTGTCTCTCCCTCCTGGACCCTGGACTCTAAACCTTTGTTACTCCAGGATTTGATGGGCAAGTCTTGTCCTTGAAAAATTAATTGAAACAAACTTTTAAAAATTAGAGCACAAGGCTGGCTTAACTATTTTGCAGGCTGAGCCCAGAGATATAACTTTGAATTCTATTTTTTAAAATAGTTTTGTAGTTGTAGATGGACATGATACCTTTATTTTATTTATTTATTTTTATGTGGTGCTGAGGATTGAACCCAGGTCCCACATGTGCTAGACAAGTGCTCTACCACTGAGCTACAACCCCAGCTCCTGAATTTTATTTTTTGATAAATTTTAGTAACATTTGATTGAAAAATTTCATGGCATAACAGGGTGTTCCACTAAGGAAAACACATGTTACCAAAGGTTGAGTATCCCTTAACAGAAAGGCTTGGGGCCAGAAATATTTCAGATTTCAAAGTTTTTTTTTGGATTTTGGAATATTTACATAGGATTTACCTGTTGAGCACCCCTAATCCAAAAGTCTGACATGCAGAATGCACCAAAATATGCATTAGGAGAGGGCCTTTATGCATATTCCTTTGGGGGTCAAATAGGGGTTTTAGCTCTTTGGGGACTGTAGAGAATCAGTTGGGCCTTGTCACCATGAGGACTCCATTATAGAAGAGGTTGTCAGGAGGGAGTACAGTTATAGGTCATAGCATGATGGGACTGCCCAAACAGATATGGTTGTATCCAGAGAAGAATGACACCCCTTCTCAGCTCTTGGAGTTCTTCCTGGGCATGGGTAAGAACTACCTTCAACTCCCGCTTCAGTGTATAATAAGGTCCAGGGTCCTGCTACTGCAAGGGAGCTAGCTCAAAACATATCACATATTTATCATGCCATCTGATGCACTGTGCAATCCTGTGAAGCAAGTAATTATCCCCATTTCACAGATGATAAGACTAACTCTTATAGTAAGAATAACCCTGTTATAAGTGCCAGGCTGATTTTAGTTCTGAGTCCCAGAGGTATTGTTAACTTTATTTGTTTTACATTCTGATAGCAAGAATTTTAAATATCTTTATTGCCCTCATAATATTCTTCAATAATTCAGTCACTTATCACATATTGCTTTCTGATTTGGGTTTTAAAAAATATTATGTGGAAAATATAATCCATATAAGTTAGGGAAAAGTAAATATGAGTGAGCAAAAAGAAAGGAAAGATAAAAGGAAAAGCACCACACACTAGGGAGCAATAAGATGGTAGAGGACCCAGGAGAAGGAGCAACAGTGACTACTGACCTGGTACCACCTAGGGAAGACCCACTTTGGGCACACCAGCAAAGGAATGGCATGAAGGTACCTAATCCTCAGGTGGTAAGACTAACAGGTAATATCTATTCTTGGTCACCTTGGAGGTCACTATTGCCTACTTTTTAGTGTACACACTTGCAGAGTTTTGTCTGAGCACAAATGCATTATGCAAACATATTTACATTTTTATAAAAATGGACTGACACTGTATATGTGGTTTTGCAAACTTTTTATTGTTATTATACAATGGACATGCACATGGGTGAAAATCCTGTACTAAAAGAGCGCTGTAGTTGGGTCAAAAGGCTGCTGGTAACAAGAGTGACACCTAAAGCAAAATATCAGCTTAAGGTTAAAGCACAGGACCTGGCAAGTATCTACCAGGGAAAGCAGGGCCGGCAATATCTCATCAGAGAAGTCTGAATCCATGACCAAAGGCATTAAAGGTAGGGAATGTCGTGTAAGCCCCTTTGGCCCCTACCTCCGCCCCTCACTCCCCTGACACCCCGCTGGCCCCTTGGGTTGAATGCATCCTGAGTATTTCTTTGCATCCAGTGAAAACTACTACCCATTTTCTGTTGTTTTTTCCTTAGCTCTTCCTGAGCCCTTGACAYATCTGCACATTCTCTCATCATCTCCTCACTGCTCAAATGCCTGTCCTGTAAGTCCTCCTGAGAGTCCTTGGGGGAATCGTCGGTGCCCCTGTCCGTTTTTCTTTTGGCTTTCCGGGGCACATAATCTTCAGCGGGGCGCTTTTCGGCGGCCCTAGGCTCGCTGGCTGGCTTTGCCTGGGATTCTGGCTTGCCCTCCCCTGGTGGCTTGCTCTGACCTTCCGACTTGCCCTGCTTTTCTGCCTTGCCCCCATCTTTCGATTGTCCCTTCTCYTCTGGCTCTCCCTCATCTTCTAGCTTTCCCTCCCTTGCTGGCTTCCCCTCCTCGTCTGGCTTTTCTTCTTCATCTGAYTTTCYTTCATCTTCAGGCTCTACTTCGTCTTCTGGCTTTTCCTCGTTTTCCAGTTTTCCTTCATTTTTGCGGTAGGGTTTTTCCATGTCGAGATTTCCCCTCCTTCTGTCGTGGGGGGTAGGGATGCAGAGAAGAGGAGACAAAAAGGAGACATGGGAAACTGAAGGTCTAGGGGTTTAACGCAGGCCCACAGAGTATTGCATCTCGCCCTTGAGAGGGTTCCCCTAAGCTGGTCTGGCCCTCTGCAGGTCCCTTACCCCACACTCCTCCCCCCACAGCGAGCCAACCATTCCCTGGCAGGTCCGTCACCTTCTCCATGCCGCTTCAGCGTGGCGAGGTGCGTGTAATCCATGCGGTGGGGGTGGGCAGTGGGGCACCACAGTCTGCCCGGGGCCCGTGTCCTCTGCACTCTCACCCCTCTGGGTCCCTGTCCATGCTCCCTCCTCCTACCCCTCCCCCCACTGACCTGCAGGGATCCTGGGCGGGTTGCTCCTCTCTTCAGGCCCTGCAGAGCACTGGGAACAACAGAAGCACAGACCTGCAGACAGACAGGATGCGGAGGCGGGAGAGGCGCTCTCAGGACTGACCCGGACTCAAGACTCTTTCCTGAATCCAGGCCCACCTTACTCAACCTTTTCCTCTGCTACCCTCTCCCGCACCCCAGCCGCCATTTCTTTTCAGGCCTTGGGCACCAAACCAGGATGCTTTCCAAACTACGTTTGGGTCTGCATGTCCCCCTTCCCAGAGGCGACCTGTCCAACCCACTCCCCTTTCGCTCAAGTCATTCAATTTGTGTTAGCAGGCGCAGAGCGTGAGAGGGGGTTATCCTCAGAATGCGTCTACGTTTCACTGCCGCACTGCGGGGACGCCCCCCCACCATGGTTTGCTCTAAAATGGATGGAGGGATGGGGGTCCAGAAAGCAGCCAGGCCACTGCAAGGGCCCACCCTCCCCAACTGCTCTGCACCCCTCTTCTCACCGACATCGCTGATCCCTTCCCCAGCCCCCTGCCCGCTGCTGCGGGATCCTGCCACCCACCTCCACCCCTGCCCCGGGTCCGCTGGCAGTGCCCGCCTGTTTACTGACCTGCGAGGACCCGGGACAGGCCTGCGCCTCCTCGGGCTCGCAGAAGCCCGCTCGCTGCTCGCCCGCCGCCCAGCGCAGCTCAGGGAGCTGGTTCCGCGCGGGCGCCGGGACCGGACCGCAGGGCGGGCGGGCGGGCAGGCGGGCGCGGGGGCTGGTGCCCACGTCGGCGCCCCGCCGGTCACGTGAACGTCGCGTCACCCGAGCTCGCCCCCCCCCTCCTGCCTGACCCACCTCACCACCCCCCATCCCCAAGGGGCTGAGAAGATGCGGACAGTGGGGAATGTAGGTGGCAAATGGGGTGGGGGGAGGGAAGACTTCTTAACTCCAGGTGCTTTACCTGGTGCATCTCACCACATCGTCGTACAGCATACCTCTCAGATGCCCATTAAAGTAGTGACAGCTAATCAGAGAGCATATCCGATTTTGTTGAGAGCGCTCAGCTCCTGAACCCCAACAACTGTTTTTCAAAACCAGCTCTGCCTGATTCTAGAGCCCGGTGGTTTCTCCGGGAAGCTGAGCTGCCACCCTGACCGGCAGCATTCCCTAGGGTTCTGTCCTGGGCCTCCTTTCTCCTCAAGTTCTCTCTAGCTGTGTGTTCTCATTCGTTTGCCTCTAAAAACTGAACTCCCAAATTTGCATCTCCATATTTTCTCCCCAAACCTCAGATTTATTTTTCCTTTCTCACCAAAAATAATAGTGTTTACTGATGCCCTTACAACATACCATATGAAATACGTTTAAGTATTCACTAATATCATAGTTGAGAAGTAGTATCTCAATGGCTTTTCCTTTTGCCTTTCTCTATGTTCAAGGGCAATTTAAATATCTTTCTGTGTGCATTGTCTATTCATGGCTTTTCCATATTTTTCTAGTGGGAATTTATACATTAACTTTATTAAACCTGTTGTATATGTTGCAAATATTACCTTCTAGTTTGTCACCTGTGTTTTGGCTTTGCTTATGGCATTTTCTGCCGTGCATTGAAAAATGTAGTCAAACATATCAAGCGTTTCTCACCTCTACGCTTTCATTCATAATTAAGAAATCTTTTCCTACTTATGGTCAGAGAAGTATTAACCTGTGTTTTCTTCTCATATGCATATTGTTTTGTTTATGTTTAGAGTTTATACTTGTGTATGGTATGAGGTATGGATCTCCACTCCACAAGGCCAATGTTCTTTTTCTAATTAGTTTCTCAGTTGTTTAAAAGTCCATCTTTGCCCCTGTGATTTGAGATGCTACCTTTATTACATGCTAAATTTTCATATGTATTTGGGAAGCTTTCTGGGCTTTTTATTCTATTGCATTGGTGTGTTTGATATTCATACTACCAGTTTGAATTATAGATGATTATATTAAGTTCACATATCTGGAAGAGTTACTACCCCCAATAATTTTTCTTTTTCAGATTTTCCCTACATGTTCTTGCATATTTACTTTTCCGTCTGAACTTTAGAGTCAACTTGATTCAGATACATTTTAAATAACTATTAGACATATCCACTCAGATATCCCTGGAATACCTCAAATTCAATGTCCCCAAGTGATTTCATCATCTTTCATTTCCTTCCTTCCCACACAATCTCCCTCTCTTCTTTCCTTTATCTTAGTTGATGGTCGCAGAAACCACACAGTTGCCCATGCAAAAGTCTGGGAATCATCCCTGATTCCCTTTTTCTCCCTGTGACCAAGTACAGTCACATGTTACTTGATAATGGGCATACATTCTGAGAGTTGTATCAATTGGCAATTTTGGCATTGTGCAAACATCATATAAGGTATTTATATAAAATAGGATAACTACAGTGTCATTAGGTGACATAATCTTATGGAATCACTATTATATATGAAGTCCATCATCTATCAAAATATCATTATGTGGCACATAATTATACTCTTACCAATCCTTTTAGTTCTCCCCCATTTCTACTCTTACTGTGCATGTTCAGATAACCAACTCCTCTTTCTTGGCCCATAGTGTCAGGTCCCTTTCTGGTTTTAGTATCTCAAGTCTTACTATCCTCTAATATATTCATTTTTCTAAAATATTTTATATCATATTGTCTCCATACCTTTTCCTGTTCCATCTTTATTACAGCTCTTGTAGCAACTATTGGTAATACATTATCTCTCATTCAGAAGCTATTCTATACGTCAGGTTAAAAAGGGTCCCTGTCCTTAGTTTGATTATATTCAAATCAATTTTTAGTCATTATTGAAGATCTAAAGTAAATTTTGAATTTTGTTGAGATAATTGATAAGAAATGTGTCTTTTGGATGTTTAGACAATTAGGAGGCCAGATTTCCAGATGGGATGACTCAGTCTTACAAAGCTGTGAATTCTGTCTACCCATCTTAACACATGAGAGCTTCTAATAATAAATAATTAAAACAGAGTGGTACTGGTTTATCTTCTAGTAGAAGATAAGAATGCTCTTCTACACTCCTAGGTTTTAATGCACTTTTAATATGTGGATAAGGTAGCATTTCAATATAGTGCCAAAAAACTGGCCTATTCAGTACATTGACATTTTGCTCTAACTTCATAGCCCAGGACCCTAAACCTAAGGAGATATTTCATCTTTGTTATCATCATCATCAAGAGGTTTTGTTGTTATTTTATGTGCATCACATCATATGGTTACCATATTACATACACTTTGACAGCCAGTCTCATTATTTACTGTGGAGGTCAAGAACTAAAATACCAGCTTTGCAACTTATTGGTTGTGTGAACTTGGAAAAGTTCCTAAAACTCCATGAGCCTTAGTTTTCTTATCTGGAAAGTTGGAATAACATTATCAGCATCAGAGGATTATTGTGAATTCTAAACAAAAATGCTTATAAAAGTGTTCAACATATACTAATTAGGTCTTTAAAAAATGTTGTTTCAAACCTCATCTTGAACTCCCACTAAAGATATAATTTTGTAGTAAGAGGAACTAATATATATAATATGAGCTTCAGTGACATCAGATCAACAGATGATTGGATAGGAGAAAAACACACTGCACTATCAATGACTCTTCTGCCCCATTATGTTACCTTCTAGATGAACATCTGGGAAGCACAGGTATATGAGAAACATAAATACAAGTTACTGTGGATGCTGCTTCTGTTTGGACCAAATACTGGAATCAGGAGATCCCTTTGAGTTTCCAGGGGGAAAAAAAATCACTACTTTGTGTCCTTGAGTAAGTCACTTCCATTGTGTTGCCTCCACATCTGAAACACATGGAAATAATAATACATCTTGGGCCCTCAATAAAATGCAGTCATAAGTATTTCTTATACATCCACAAGAGTATGTGAGGATGGGGGAGACACAAAGACCAATCACAAAGAAACAGTACTTTTCCTCTGGAGACCTCTGGGACATTCACCATTACTGAGTACTTGCTAAGTGTCTTGAATGGAGATAGCTGCTTTATATAGGTCAGTGGGGTAATAAGGTACCCTCTCACCAATCTGTGAAATAAGGATTCATTGCCTCATTGAATCAATTAGGAACCTGGGGCTCAGTGTTTATTCACAGTTAAGAATTTTTTAAATTATTATTTTATTGGCAGTTCTGGGGATGGAACCCCTGGCCTTGAGCACACTAAGCTATCTCCCTATCCTGTTTAAGAGTTTAAGTTTACACAAGCTGGATAGTGCCAGGTCATAGAATGAGGCTGTCTCTATGTTCCTCTGTTATCTCCCATTTTCTCAATTTCTTTCTCTGTTGGGTGATGAGTTAATATTTATTTCTTCAGGAGCCTAAGGATGCCTAGCACTTCCTTGCATCCCTAAATGGAAAGGGCTACGTCTCAGAGCAGGGCACTACCTTGTTGGAAGATATGCTCTCTCAGTAGGCAGAAAACTTCTTTACATGAGGCTATCTGTGGAAAGGGCTAAAGGGAAGGATGGAATCTTGGGTCAACAGGGGCTCAAAGAAGACATTGGTGATATTGGTCTGAAATATACAGAGAAAGCTTTCAAAAGGAAATGGGGGCTGGGGATGTGGCTCAAGCAGTAGTGTGCTTGCCTGGCATGCGTGGGCGCTGGATTTGATCCTCAGCACCACATAAAAATAAAATAAAGATGTTGTGTCCACTCAAAACTAAAAAATAAATATTAAAAATTTCTCTCTCTATATCTCTTTTTTTAAAAAAAAAAAAAGGAAATGGACCTTGACCTAAGCCCCAGAAGATGGTCAGGATATAGAAAGAGGGAGGGAGCAACTAGCCTGTTTTGACTACAAATCCCAACCTGACATTAATTAACTTTGCCTATCTTTACAAAAGGATCAGGTAATGTCAACTTGAAATCAAAGTATCATTTGATTTTTCTCTCCCAGTCAACAAGTCCCCTTCTTGCTTCAGGGTATCTCCTTAATCTATAACTACCTTAAAACCTCATAATCTCATATCTGAACTCTATGATAGTTCCTTCTCTAGTTTTCCTGCTTCCTTACCTACCCACTTCCATTCCAATAAATTTTGTATATTACCATCAAGTTAAACTTAACTCTCCCCCAGTTTCAACATGGTATTATCCTTTTCGAAGGCCCTGAATGGCAAGCCCATCACTTACAGAGCAAAATTTATTCTCTTAATCCTAACATCATCAGAATTGTGCCCCAGGACACACATTCATGTACTAGTCATGTACTTCTCTGCTTTCACTACTTGTGACCCAAGCACACTATATTTGTTTCTTATTGTCTTTACATGCCATTTTCTTCCTGCTACCTGCTCTCTTATTCCTCCCAGATCCTGTTCCTTCTCATTATTAGAGGTCTGGTATTCATCCTCTTTCATTCATCCTTTGAAACCCCCCAGCTGGAAGTGATCTTTCCCTTCTCTGTGCCTACTGCACATAGGGTCTACACCCCTCATGTGGCCTTTAACAAAGGCTACCTTGTACCCATCTCTCCTCCTCCTCTTCCTTCTTGTTGTCCCTCCCCACTCTCTTTGTAGAAAGAGCTCACCAGAAAGGTGGTCAGATGTAGCAGATCAAATGTGATCTTATCCTGCATTACAGATCTGTATGCTGGTACATGGTGATTTACTCAGAAATCTGTCTCAGAAGTAGCTATGCACAAAAATTGGAGCAGATGGGGGTTTTTGTTTGTTTGTTTTGCTTTTTTTTTTTTTTTTGTACTGGGGATTGAATCCAGGAGCACTTAACAACCAAGCTACATCCCCAGCCCTTTTTATTTTTTTTTATTTTGAGACAGGGTCTCACTATGCTGTGCAGGCTAGCTTCAAATTGTCAGGCTCAAGTGATCATTCTGGCTCAACCTCCCAAGTAATTGGGACTACATACATATGACACCAACCTGGACATGTATCTTGGGTTTACATCATCTAGAATGACTAGTAAACTTTAAGATACGAATATAGATTATTATAGTGATTCCAGACAGTAAGCACACTTACGGCCCTGACCAATGCAAACAAAATATTCCATAATCCTAGGCCTAAAGTTAATCCAGTAAGCAATTGCTCAAGTATAATATCCAGAAATCAGAAATAACCAGAGGTACAAGAAAAGAGACATTATGAGTAATAAGTAGTAGAGACAACAGGCAGCACAAACAGATCCATGAGATTTGAATTACTTGATTATGACTATTAAACCACAAAGCTTAGAGTATTTGGTTATACAAAATCTAATCTTGAAGATTTCAACAGGGAACTCAAAATCAGAAAATTTGAAAAATAAGCAAAGGGAAGTTATTTTAGTAAACAACTTACAAAACTTAGCTGAAATTAGTAACTAAATAGATGGTTTAACAGGAGTTATGCAGCTTGAAATTAAAGAACTAGAAATGGTGTTCAGAAGAAACTTACCCATAAAGCTGCACAGAAAGTAAAGAAGATGAGAACTAATAGAAGGGAAGTTATGAGATGTAGAAGAAAAAAAAAACATAAGATTGAACATGTTCAACTGAACTTTCATAAGAAAAAGATAAATGGAATTGTTCAGAAACAATCTCCAAAAATATTATGGCTGAAAAATTTTCAAAACAAATGAAAGATGCTGATATATAGATTCAAGAGTCCCAACATATCCCAAAGAGAAACTCACACCAAATGCACAGTAAAGCAATCTTCCCTTACCTGTGGTTTTGTTTTCAGTTACCTCCAGTCAATCATAATTCAAAAACATTAAATGGAATATTCCAGAAATAATAAGTATTAGATTGCCTGCTGTTCTGAGTAGCACAATGAAATCTCAGGCTATCCCACTCCATCCCTTTCTCCAGCACATCCATGCTATATATTATATCCATCTGAGTCACTTAGTCTCAGTTATCAAATCTACTGTTATTGTATCACAGTGCTGTGTTCAAGTAATCCTTACTTTACTTAATAGTGAACCCAAGGCACAAAAGTAGTGATGACTGCAATTCAGACATGCCAAAAGAGAAGACATAAAGTATTTCCCTGAAGTGAAAAGGTAGGAGTTCTCAACTTAATAAGTAAAAATATCATGTGCTGGGCTGGGGTTGTGGCTCAGAGGTAGAGCGCTTGCCTAGCACATGAGAGGCCCTGGGTTTGATCCTCAGCACCACCACATAAAAATAAATAAATAAAGGTATTGTGTCCAACTTCAACTAAAAAATAAATATTTAAAAAATATCATATACTGAGGTTGCTAAGATCTATGGTAAGAATTAATCTTCTATCTATGAAATTTTGAAGAAAAAGAAATTCATGCTAGTTTTACTGTTGCACCTCAACAGCAAACATTATGGCCACTATACATGGTAAGGTGCTTAGTTAAATTATAGAAAAAACATTAAATTATGAGGTTTGGTACTACCTACTGTGTTAGATCTGGGTTTTGGAACATGTCCTCTGAAGATGGGGGTGGAGGTACTAATGTAGTGCATTTGTAGAGAATCAAAGACAAATAGAAAATTTTAAAGTAGCCAGAAAAAATAGATTATGCCTTGAAAGAAACAAGTTAGACTGATTGCTGATTTCTCAACAGTAACAACGACAACATGAAGAAAGTCAAATACAGGTTGTGTTTTCCAAAAAAAGTGCCAACCTAGATATTGATAACCATCACTAATACACTTCAGAAATTAAGGTGAAATAAAGACTTTTACAAATAAACAAAAAGTGAGAATGCTTGACACCAGCAGGTATGAAGTAAAGGAAATCCTAGAGAACACTTTTCAGATAAAAGGAAAATGATCTCAGATGGAAGATTGGAGAGGGAAGGGATATGAAGCAATTAAAAAAAATCTACATAAATTTAAATCAATACTTATAAAACAGTAATATTATCATATTGCTAATCCATTTTGACAGAAATATGAGTTAAGAGGGTGAGATTAAAAGTATTTAAAATGTAATATTTGGGGAGTGTGTAAAATTATAATAAATCAAAGAAGTCTCTATTCCTATTTGATAATAGTTTGTTATGAAAATATTCTGAACATAATAAATTATATCTATTCATGTTTTGAGATAATCATATAGTTAGACTTTATTCTCTTAATATAATGAATTATATCAATTGATTTTCAAATGTTATATCTATCTTTCAACTCTTGAATACTTTAACTTGTTTTCAGTATATTATTCTTTTCATAATGGTAGAATTTTTTCTCCTATAGGATTTTTTTTATCAGCTATGTTAACAAGAAAGATTGGCCTGGATTTTTCCTTTCCCATAATGGCCTTGTTAAAGTATAAGTATTAGCATTTGATAGGCCAAGAATACATGCTTTAAAATGATCCTAAAGAGAAAACTATCTGGGAGTGGTGATGGATGCCTGTAATCCTAGCGACTCTGGAGACTGAGGCAGGGGGATTGAAATTTCCAGGCCAGCCTCAGCAACATAGCAAGACACTGTCTCAAAAAGGACTGAACTTGGGCTGGGGTTGTGGCTCAGTGGTAGAGTGCTCACCTAGCATGCACGAGGCACTGGATTTGATCCGTAGGACCACATAAATGTAAAATAAAGATATTGTGTCTACCTAAAAAACTAAAAAATAAATAAAATTTTAAAAAAAGAAAAAAAAAGGACTGAACTTAGATTTGGGGTTGAAGTGCATGTGTGCGCACACCACACACATACTCACACACACACACACACACACTCATGCACACATAATATGCTACTTGAGATTTGACATCATGCAAGTTTCTTTCTTTGTCTAAGCATCATTTTCTTCATATTATTTTAAAAATTATATTAATTATAACTTACCTTTTTCCATAGAGTTTTGAGATGATCAAGTGAATTTCATGGATAGAAAATTGTTGTAATTAATGTGGATGTTATTATTATAATAATTATGCAGCAAAACTGGATATGATTTACATCATGTTATGAAAAAGTGCTTCATATTGGTGTTCCAAAAACACTACTTTGGCAGGACATTTTCCAAACTACTTTCCCCAATAATCTGACCTGACCATTGAACTTAACATATTTCAAGTTATTCTTTAATTCAACAAATCTTGGCTGAATGAATAAATGATGCTACCAAAAAAGGACTTGAGATGTAACTCAGTGGTAAACTACCCCTGGGTTCAGTTTCCAGCACCTATATATGAAAGAAAACTAATATGGATCATATGAGATAAACAGAAGGAACTTGATACAATGATCAATTTATACCTATTACTATCAATAATTACAGTAATGCAAATGGTCTACGTGTAACAAATTAAAAACAAAGATTTTTAGACTGGAAAAAAGCCCAACTATATGCTCCGTACAAAAGACAAACCTGAGGAACTAGTGAGGTAGCTCACTGGCAGAGAATGTACATGCTAAGGCCCTAGGTTCAATTCTCAATACCAAAAAAGAAAATAAAAAAAAGACAAACCTGAAAGATGAAGATTCATGAAGATTGAAAGTAAATATATAGAAAAATCATAACATGGAAAGACTAATCAAAATAAAGTCATTGGAATTAATAATAAAATAAACTTTAAAGCAAACAGAATTAGAAGAGTTAAGGAGTGTCACTTCATTATAATATTTAAATATTTTATGCATCTATTAACTTGATCTCAAAACAAAATTTTTTAAATTTCCAGAATTACAAGGATAAATAAACAATTTTTCTATATTTTTGTTAACACCCTTTTCTCTGTAACTGATAAAAGACAAAAATCAGTAGGGATACAAATTAAATGAACAAAATCATGAGTAAATTTGACCTACAGTGACATTTAAAACACTGCACAATGACAGCACTCTGCATATTTGTTTAAAATGAATACAAATCATTTACTAAAATTGAATAGAATCTAGGTTATACAATAAATCTTAACAAATTTCAAAAAAAAAAAACTGAAATAAGGGGATTGAGAATTTAGCTCAGTGGCAAAGAACTTGCCTAGCACATGCAAGGTCCTAAGTTTGGTCCTTGGCCCTGAAAAAAAAAAAAAACAATAACCCTGAAATAATATAGAGTAACTTCTTTGTCATAGTGTAATTAAGCAAAAATCAATAGTAAAAATAATTACAAAATTTTTGGAATTTAAATAACAAATTTGTCCAATGAAAAATTTTAAAATGTTTGGAGTGAAGGGTAATTAAAACTACATATCAAACATTATTTGGAAGAAAAAAGCTTGAGGACTATAACTGAATCATACCTAGAGAGATATTTATAACATGAAGTACACATATTAGAATAGAAGAAACACTGAAAATCAATGACCCAGGCAACTAGCTTCAGAATATGGAAACAGAACACAAACTATACCAAATGAGTTAGAGGCAAGGAGACATAAATCTACAAGCAGAATTTAATGAAATAGAAAACAGACATATAATAAAATACATCAACAAAACTAAAGTTGATTATTTAGTAAATGATAATAAAAGTAATAAATACATAGTCTGGCCTGTTATAAAATGAAAATGAACAAAAATTGAAGTATTTCCTCAAAACCTACAGATTTAAAAATATATTTAAAATAATTTTATGTCAATAATTTCAAATTTTAAATAAAATATATGAATTTCTAATGATATGCATCTTATAAATATTGAAACGCAAATAATTAAAAATTCTTATTTATTCTGTAAATATAAAATAAAAAAATCCAAAATTTAAAATCTTTTAAGATGTTTTACACCAAGAAAATTTCAGACCCAGATAACTTCTGTAGTGAATACTTCCACACATACATCTTTTTAAAAGGTTTTTACAAATATTGTTTATTTTAATGAAGCTGGTACAGACAATGTCCATTTAAAACCCATATCCCAGGCCAAAAGTACAAATAAAATAAAAGGAGCAGTGTTCTGTTGTATACAGTTCTGCATGAATAACTTTAATGAAAATTAGAACTTTTCCAGGATCTTCTGACAAGATTTTTTAAAAAAATCTTAAAACGTTTTCTCTTCAGTGAAGCCATCTTTGGAGTTAGTTGTTACTCTCCCCATGTCTGTTTGTCTTGACTCCAAACCTGATAGTCCTCCTCTTTTGGTCCAGACCCTCAGATTTTAAAAGTAGCATCAGGTTAAGGAAAGGTCATTTTCCCACAGTTCAGTTCTCTGAAAAACTTCCATCTCTCACTGAAAGTCACAGTCCAGGAGTGAAGCAGTCACATGCTAGAACTTCAGGGCCAATTGGAAAGTCATTATAGACAGTCACATTGGTCAATCTTATTTACCACCAAAAGTCTGAAAATGTACAGTCCTGAAAAAGGTGGCCTCTCTGTAAACACGTGTAATTTTTTAAAAGGAGAGGGCAATATGAAGGGAGCTGAGGTTTGATCACCAAAAACTCAGCACAATGAAAACAAACAATAATGAATAATGAGCATTAGAATTCAAATTACCAGATGTTTTAAAGAGATGGGTGCCAGTTTTCAATTCCATTTGAACACCATATTACAAAAGAACTATTTTTTAAAATAAAAAAGGATTAAGGGAAAATAAAAAAAATAAAAGAATATCTAAACCGTTGAATGGTTTGTTCCTGATAAACTTCAATCACATCTTCTTCCTCCATTTCCAGTTCTTTTGGAGTATGATTATCAGCAATTCTCTGACCTTCAAATAGAAACCAGAGTGAATTCATTGGAACTCCCTGTCTTTGACAGTATGATTCTTTGAGTTTCTTGAGATGTGTTGTCATTTTCACWTTGAAGTGAATCTCACTGCTATCCTGTCCAATTACTTTGTATTTAATGCATTCTCCTTCATTCTTATCTCCCAAATACTCAGTTGAAGGTTTTGCCTCCTGATCAGACATGGTGACTGTGGCTTCACCTGGGGGTCTCCGCACAGCAGCGGCCTTGGGTAGGTAGAACCTGGCTCCGGGGTTTACAATCCTTCCACATATACATCTAAGGAAGAAAATAGTATCCATCTTAAAGAGTCTTTCAGAGAATTATAGAAGAGGAAATACTCTGAATGCCATTTAAGAGTACAGTATAACCTTAATATCAAAACCTAACAAGGCTATTGTGGGAAAGGAAAAACCCAGGCCAATCTTTCTTGTTAATATAGCTGAAAAAAAATCCTATATGAGAAAAAATTCTACCATATATGAAAAGAATAACATATTGCAAACAAGTTAAAGTATTCAAGAGTTGAAAGATAGATATAAAATTTGAAAATTGATATAATTCATTATATTAAGAGAATAAAGTCTATATGGTTATCTCAAAACATGAATAGATATAATTTACTAATATTCAGCATGAATTCATAATATAAACCATTATCAAATAGGAATAGAGACTTCCTTGATTTATTAAAATAAATTTGTAAAACACACATAGAAAACATCAAATTCAATGGTGAGAATTGAAATCTTTCTCTTTGAAATTAAGAATAAGACAAGGAAGCCCTAGATCTTTTCAAAATATCACTGCAAGTCATAGAAAGTAAAAGAAAAGAAATCAAAACAGAGGGAAGGAAGTATTGGAAAGGAAGAAACCAAACAGTCCCACACAGACAAGATGATTTTGTAATTTAGGGAATCTAAAAGAATCTATATGTATATTTTACAATGAATGAGTTTAAGTGTTCAGGATACAACAATATACAAAATTTCAATTTCATTTAAAAAAATAGCTTGAGATATAATTCACAACTCACGAAGTCCACCCTTTTAAGGTGTGCAATTCCATGGTTTTTAGTATATCCATAAGATTGTGCAATCAACACCACTATCTAATTTTAGAACATTTTTTTTTCTCTCCAGGAAAAGAAGTTCTGTAGCGCTTAACAGTGAAATCCCATTTTCTCCACATCAGGCTCTAGCAACTACTAATGTACTTTCTATCTCTTGGATTTGCCTTGCTGGACATTTGGTATAAATGGAGCATATAACAATTTTTTTAAAAAAGCAAATATTAGTTTTATCAGCACCAATCTCCAAATGACAGTATTCAAATATTTGCTTATAGAACACAGGTGCTGAAGGGAAAATATAATTCGTGACACAGAAACCATATTCTACAGTTAATTTAGAAAAAATGTAAGCATTATGTATTCATTATTATGGTCACTGGAACAATCTGAATGAGATCCTGGCTCTGCCATGTATGATTTGATCTTGAACAAGGTGCCTAAAGTCTTTCTGCACCTCAGTTCCCTCAATTTATAATGAAAACAATAACATAATCTATCTCATAAGATTATTACAAAAATGACACATTTAGGTCATTAGAGAGTGCCAACAGGAAATATTAGCTATTTTTCAATGCTCCATAACCTATACATTGCATGGCCAATGCCAATATATAATAATTAAGTATAACACAATCCAATCAGGGGATAAAAAAGAATTAGTTTGTTTTCAAATGATTGGAAAAAGTAAAAAGGATACTACAAAACTAATTTCAACAGAATCTATTCTTTCTTCTTTAAGAGTCATTGAATACTTAAATACTATTGCTGTCTTTTAAATTTTAATTGTCATATTATTATTGTACAAATTTGTAGGACAGAAAGAGATGCTTTGAAAATATGTATACACTATTTGATCAGTGTATTTAGCATATTCATCACCTCAAATGGGACAAACAAAGAGAAAGAAATCAAATCTTATCACTCAAGAAAACCACCAAAACACAAAGATGGGGAAGAAAAGAATAAAGGATATACAAAATAATCAGAAAATAATTAACAAAATTACAGGAGTAAATTCTTTTTTAAAATTTGTGCTTATTAGTTATACATGACAGTAGAATGTTTTTTGACATATTATATATATATGGAGTATAACTTCCCATTCTTCTGGTTGTACATGATGTGGAATTACATGGGTCACATATTCATATATGCATATAGGAAAGTAATATCCAATTCATTCTACTATCTTTCCTATTCCCATTCCCCTTCCTTCCCTTAATTCTCCTTTGTCTAATCCAAAGTACTTCTATTCTTTCCTACTCCCCTTATTGTGAGTTAGCATCCATGTATGAGAGAGAACATTCAGCCTTTGTGTTTTGGGGACCGGCTTATTTCACTTAGCATGATAGTCTCCAGTTGATCCCTTTACTGGCAAATGCCATAATTTTGTTCTTTTTAAAATATTTTTAGTTGTAGTTGGACACAATACCTTTATTTCACTTATTTATTTTTATGTGGTGCTGAGGATCCTACCCAGGGTCTTGCATGTGAGAGGCGAGTCCTCTACCATTGAGCCGCAACCCCAGCCCAATTTTATTTTTCTCTATGGCTGAGTAAATTTCATTGTGTATATATACCACACTTTCTTTATCCATTCATCTGTTGAAGGGCACCTAGGCTGGTTCAATAATTTAGCTATTGTGAATTGAGCTGCTATAAACATTGATGTGGCTATGTCACTGTGTTATGCTGATTTTATGTCATGGGATAACTGGGTCAAATGGTGTTTCCATTCCAAGTTTTCTGAGGAAACTCCATACTGCTTTCCATAGTGGTTGCACCAATTTGCAGTCCCACCAGCAATATATGAATGTTGCTTTTCCCACACATCCTTGCCAACATTTATTGTTACTTGTATTCTTGATAATTGCCATTCTGACTGGAGTAAGATGAAATCTCAGTGTAGTTTTAATTTGCATTTCTCTAATTGACTAGAGATGTTGAACATTTTTTCATATATGTGTTGGCCAATCATATTTTTACTTCTGTAAAGTGCCTGTTCAGTTCCTTTCCTCATTTATTGATTGGGTTATTTGTGGGGTTTTTTTTGGTGTTAATGTTTTGAGTTTTTTTTATATATCCTAGAGATTAATGCTCTATCTGAGGAGTGGGCGACAAAAATTTTCTCCCATTCTCTAGGCTCTCTCTTCACAAGAGTAAGTTCTTACACGAAAATAATAGCCTTGAATGTAAAAAGGAATTAAATCCCCTAATTAAAAGATAGATGAGTGGATTTAAAAAAAAAAAGAAGAAGAAAACAAGGACCCAATTATTTGCTGCCTATAAGAAACTCATTTCACTGGTACAGACACAAATAGACTGAAAGCAAATAGATGGAAATAGATATTCTATGCCAACAGAAACCAAATGTGAGCAGGAGTGGCTATACTTACATCAGATGAAATAGACTTTAGGTCAAAAATTGTAAAAGAGACAAAAGAGAAATGAAAAAGAGAGAAATTCATCCAGACAATATAGCCATTGTTAAATATATATGCACCCAATACTGGAGCACCCAAATACACAAAGCAATATTATTAGATCTACAAGGAGAGTTAGATTCTAATACAATAAAATTTAGGGACTTTAACACCCCAGTTTCAACAATGAACAGATCATCCAGGCAGAAAATCAACCAAAAAAATTTAAATTAAATCATATCTAGCAGACATTTACAGAACACTTCATTCCACGCTACAGAATATGTATTCTTTTCATTAGTACAAGGAAAATTCTCCAGGATAGATCAATTGCAGTTCTTTTTTTATTTATAACAATTGCAGTTCTTAATCAGCAAAATAATTGCAAAATCGAATTTTTAAATCCAGTACATGATATTCAAAACTTATATGGTAAAAAACATTACTGAGAAAAATGGAATGCATAACTAAATGGAAGATATACCATAGTCATGGACTGGATAACTCAATATTAAGAAAATGGCATTTTCTATTAACTAACTAATCATATGTTTAATACAATCCTAAATAAAACTCTTCCTTCCTACTCTCCTTTAATCCTTTCTGCCTTTCATGGACCTTAATAAGCTGTTTCTAAAGAATATATAAAATTGCAAAAAGTTAAGAATAGATTAAACATTATTGAGAAAACTAATTTGGAAAGACTTTGTTCATCAAATATGAATATTAATATAAAGTCTAAATATCAATACATATTATTAAGTCCTAGTAATTTAGTATGATGTTAATTCAAGGATAGCCAAAGAGACCAATGAAATCAAATAGATACCAGRAACATATTCATGCATTATGGATCTTTGATTTATAATAAAATTGGGGAAGAGGATAACTATTTAACAAATAATGCTGAGTAAACTATATGCTCATGTGGAAAATATAAATCTTGACTCCTGCCTCACGTCACAGTGTAGTTAATATTATGTGTTAACTTGACTGGGCTACAGGGTGCTCAGACGTTTATGCAAACATTATTTTGAGGTGTTCTGGATAAGATTTAGTATTTGAATAATTAAAATAGATTGCCTTCTTTAATGTGGGTGAGTCTCAGCCAATCAATTAAAGAYCTGAACAGAATACAAAACCTGAGTTAGAGAGGTCTTCTCTTGATTAATTGCTTGAGCTGAGAATTTACACCATGGCTTTCCTGTATCTCTAGCTTTCTGAATGTAAATCTTTAGAGAGAGAACACCAGTACAATACACAGAAACCCACTTCTGGTCAATTGTACATGAATCTCTAGAAAAAAAATATAAAAATCTTCATAATTATGAAGTAGGAAGAGACTTTTTAAATTGGACACAAATGTGTTGATTATAACAGAAAAAAATGAGAACTCTGATTTGGCTGAGGTAAGATTTTCCATTAGTCAAATGACACCATTGAGAGAGTAAAAAAATATGCTAYAGAGTGGGTGAACTATTTGCAATATATTTCACTGACAAAGAGCTCAGATATAAAATATATACATTAAAAACTGCTATAAGCAATGTAGAAACATATATAAGCCAATAGTGGGACAAAAACCATATGAGAATAATATAATCACTAAGGATATCCAGCCAGACATGGTGGTGCACACCAGAATCCCAGTTACTCTGTAGGCTGAGGCAGGAGGATCACAAGTTCAAGGCCAGCCTGGGCAACCTAGTGAGATCCGGACGCCGTGGCACATGCCTGTAATCCCAGCAGCTCAAGAGGCTG